TTGTGGTATTGGCTAGCTGTTGAACTTCAGCCCCTTTGTTCATCAGTTGAACTAAGGCCCCTTAATAAAGATAATTTTTACTTCAAACTTTTAAAAATTAATCTCAGTAGAAAAATACAGTTTTGGAGACTATATCGAAAAAGTTCTAATGATTATTCAGATATTTTGGACCTGAATAATGAGATTTCTTCCTTTTAACTTTTGAAAGGTCAATATTTTTTGCAAACTTTGAGTAGAAAAACACAATTTACAAGACCCTCTATCAAAAAGTTCCTAATGGATATTTTGCCAATCCCAATCGTTTCTGAAATATGAACAAAAATATTCAAGGTTTTATAAAATTTTACGTCTTGCTCTTTGAAAGTACCTACATCTACTACAAAAATGAGAAATTTTTGCGTCCAAATCACTTGCCCGAAAATTTTAGTCCGATTTTCAAAACCTTTTCAGGTCGCACGTAAATTGTGTTTAAATTCAGTGGCAAAATATTTTTTGTGGACAATTGGAATACCACCAATTTAAACAACATAAGACTGCAAGTTCTCATATTTGCTGAGAACTTGCAGAAGGAATAAAACTTTAATTAAACCTCATCGGAACGAGAGGAAAAAGTTCGCTTGAAAGAGTAGAAATTGATGAAAAAGTCATCTTAAAAAAGCCGAAAGAAGCCTACCTGAAGGAAACTGGAAAACTACACCTCAAAGTTGCAGATAACTACGACCAAATTAATGTTGAGGGCAATGAAAAAACAATAACCGAGTTATCGACTGATTACAAATTATTTAAAACAGGCAGCTTAAATAGAGTGGTTGTAATGAACTCGTTAAGTGTCTAGGCTGCAATGCCGCGCAAACGATCTCTGAAGATGTCAGCCACTCGTGCGTGTGAAACGTCTGGAAAATATTGTTAAGTACAAGATTTGGATGAGTCATTCTCAAGCTAAAATCGATTCATTTTTGAGTAAAAAAACCCACCTTGTATTTGTAACTGTTTTAGTTTGAGTTAAAAGTGACTAAAACAAGGCTGCTATGAGCGGCCTGCAATAACGGACATGATTCATTAAGGCGAAAAGGAATTGCATTAACACTATTATGATGTGCCTGTTTCGCTATCCGAATGGTATTACTAATCGCCTGGTTAATATTCTAAGCACATTGTTTAAACATTTGCGAGTTTGCAGTAGGCTTTTCGATAAATTCGGTTTAATAACGGGACCTTTCTGATTGCATTTGCGTGCATTTTGAGCCAAACTGTCTAGGTTAAAGACTTTCAATTTCCAACCAATAAAAATGTCTTCTTTATCCAAAAATTTGGAAATCATGATCCCCAGACTGCTGTTAAGCGTTTCAGCATGAATAGCAATTCAAATAGTATCTAGATGAAAGAATTTGATGTTTAAACCCGTTTTTTAACGTTCCTCAAAGAACCTGAGTTGAATCTTTCACCAGATCTAATGATTAATTTGGCGATGATTGAAATGTAAAAAAGCCCCAACTCAACGCAGCCCTGCTCTCCTATACAGGATGTGTGGCACACTGTTTCTGAGTACGAATTATTTTGATTGTGTGCAACGGAGGGTTGCTGCTTTGAGTCACCCCACAAACTTTACACTTGTCACCCTCTTTTACAAAGCATTTCATTGCCTTTTATTGGTGTGCCCCACTATTATTTTGGCCGTAAAAACACCCTGCCTGATTTTTGGCACAAAAAAATTAATGTTTGGACTCGAAACTATTAGAAAAATAGTAGGGGAATTGCTACAGGAGAAGTGTTGGGAACATTGTAAGGTGTTACTCCTCCCATTTTTACAAAGCTATTTGCAAGGCAGGGTTAAATCAGGTAGATCCAGCCGGTCATTCAATCGCCACCCGCAACGGATAAATATGTGAAAAATGGTGTCGACCAATTAGTTGTTTGTTGTTGTCTGTTTAGCCAATAACAGCAGTTTTGCCCATTTACGTAACGGCGAACATAGAAATTTGATTTGCAGCAAAGTTGAAGAAAATGGAGTATTTTAACTTGCAAATATATGAGAACACGCTTTTAACAGTACAAAACAATGCAAAATCCCCATTTTACACTTTTTGCTTCATTCAATCTTAGCTTGATAGAAAGTGAAACTTTTTTGCGCAAACAATGTCCGTGATGTATTTTAATCTGGTGAACTCAAATCTAAGCAAAAAAGTGTCTTCGGATTATGATTTTTCCGGAAAAATCGATTAAACTCTGAAAAACGTGATTCTTGGTGGTACAATGACGATTATTTAATTTTGTTGTGTAACTCTTCAGTATTTATACGTAATTTTTATTCCCAACCAAGTATTTATAAATAAAACTAATAAATATCAAATTTCTTTCCATTCAGAAAAAAAATAAAGAAATTTGAATTATATTAAATAGTACTTTAGAAAATCTTATGGTAAACAATTGTTCCTAAAAACAATTCAATTTTAATTTAATTTTACTTTCTAAATATCTCAAAACTTAAAAGGAAAACTAGTTTTTTTGAAAACGCCATGTATAAGACGTTCTGACTGCGCCACTTTTTCCTATTTTAACCGACTGCGAATCTCTTACGGTTTCGGAGATCCCATGCAATACATTTTTATCTTGGACACCCTGTATATCAGCATTATTTAGAACATTACAAGGAAAAAGAAAACTAAACTTTTAACACCCTGTACCTTGGAAATTATTCACTACCGAACCTCTGTTATGGGAACTTTTTTTCATAAAACGACAAAGAAATATTAAGCTTTTATAAATACCCTGATGATGAAAAAGGAGCAAAAAGTAGCAGCCAGTTTTCGAACCATCTAAGAGCGGGATGTTTACTGAGTAGTGATGAGCAAAGCAAGACCAACACTTGCACTTGCATGCTCTTGGTCTTGTTCTTGCAGATATAAACAGTAAAATTAGACGGAATTAATTTAATAATAACAATAATAGTAATTACATTAAAAGATAATAATAATCAATACAAAACAATAAAAATAATTATTTCAGACTATTTCCTATTTTAATAAGTTTTATTATTTTAGATAAGTTCTATATTGTTGAGGCGGATTCATTTTTTTACAAACTTCTTTTTGGGTATTTCGCATCTAAAATTTTTGACAGAATTTCCTCACGTCTTTTATTACAGATTGATAAATAGTGCTC